GACTTAAAAATGGCCAGAGGGATTAAATTCCTTTTCTCAAAAGACACACAAATGGCCAACAGCTAGAAGAAAAGGTACCTGACATCATTAATTATCAGGGAAATATGAATCAAAACCACAACCAGGTAGCACCTCACACCTTCGGGGGTGGTAATTATTTTTAAAAAGTGTTGGTGAAGATGTGAAGAAAGTGGAACATTCAAGTGCTATTGGTAGGAATGTAAAACAGTGCAGCTGCTGTGGAAAACAGTATGGAAGTTCCTCAAAATTGTTCATTATTGGCATGTAAATACTCGTGCCAAAGAAAGCACAGTATTGTCCAGAACAGATATAAATATATGGAAACGTATAATATTTGACACTAGAAATGAGTGGGAAAATTGTGGATTTTTTTCAATAAAAGCTAATAGGATAATTGATTATGGATTCAGAAGAAAACTGATTTAATCCTCTATCTCATGTAACATTTAAAAACCACTTCTAGGATAATTAAAAACTTTAAAAAAATTTTAACAATATTAGAAGCAAAGAAACAATAGAGAAAACTCAGAGACTTAATAGAATATAATTGACAGATTCATCTAGGTGAAAATCTAAAACTTTTGTACAATAAAACAGCCATAAATAAAATCAAAGGAAATGCAACAAATATTAAGAAACATTTGCAATATATTTTTAAAAATGTTAATGTGTACACAATAGTAAAGAAAAATCATTTTTTTAGGAAAACAAGTATACCAGAAAAAAAAAAAATAGGCATAGGATTGAAAATAAAAAGCCTAAGAGAACAAAATCTCAAAGGATAATAAACATATGAATTATGTCTTCCCACACAAGTATTTGGGGGACTATGAATTAGAACAATTCTAAGACACAATAGTTTGCTTACTGAACTGAAAAAAATTATTTTGATAAAATTTAGTCCTCACAAGGATGTGAGCAAACACTCTGGGTAGGAGTGTATACTGGTACACATCTGTATTGATAAGTATTGGGGAACAATTTAAAGTTATCAATACATATGAGAATTTTTAATGCTCCTACTCAGGACTTTTTTCTACAACATTTTTTGGAGAGCAATCTGGCAGTGATCTTATGAAATTTCAGTTCTCATTCCCTTTGACCTAACAATACCATTTCTAAGTATCTATCCTAAGGTACAGGGCTTCCCTGGTGGCTCAGCAATAAAGAATCTGCCTGCAGTGCAGGAGACCCGGGTTCAATCCCTAGGTCAAGAAGATCCCCTGGAGAAGGGAACGGCTACCTACTTCAGCGTTCTTGACTGGAGAACCCCATGGACAGAGGAGCCTGGCAGGCTATAGTTCATAGGGTTGCCAAGAGTCGAACACAACTAAAGCAAATTCATATGCATGCACGCATCCTAAGGTACAGGCAAAGATAATCATGAGAGCACTTTTAATAATAAAAATTAAAATGATCAAATATCTAACAATGGGAAGAATGGTAGAATAAATTACAGAAGAGGCAGCCATTAAAAAGAATGGGCTAATTCTATAGCTCGTAACCTAGAATATATAATTGCATGATACAAAAGACAAGTTACAGAAATTATTTAGTTCTTAGTTTAAAAAAACAAAAGCATGTACATATGGAGATGTGGCTACATACATGTAGGATAAGGAGAGTTGTGCATGCTAAGTCCCTTCAGTTGTGTCCAACTCTGCGCAACTCTATGGACTGTAGCCTGCCAGGCTGCTCTGTAAACGGGATTCTCCAGGCAAGAATACTGGTGGGTTGCCATGTCCTCCTCCAGGGGGTCTTCCCGACTCAAGAGGTCGAACCTGCATCTCTTATGTCACCCGCATTGGCAGGCAGATTCTTCACCACTAGCACCACCTGGGAAGCCAAGGCTAGTTACACACCAATAAGTTAATGGTGGTCACCTCTGGAGGTGGGATCAGATGAAAGAGGGAGCGTGTGTAATGGGCCAAAGATAAAACTCTTCCCGTTCAGGGGGGAGGAGAAAGAAGAGGGGCCATGGCATGAGGCTACAGAGGAGGGCCATTGACAGACTGAGGACCGTCAGGGGAGGAGGGCAGGGCCTGAGAGCAGCGCAATGAGGATCTCAAGGGGAGGGAGTGAAGGGGTGCTGTGCGCCCTGGGAAGGCGCAGCCCTGAGAAAGAACGCAGCTGAGTAGTAGTGGTGGAAGCCAGGGTGGAAGCCAGCGGGATTGGGGCAGTTTTTGTCCCCTCTGCTGGGGCATCTTCATAGAAACAGACAAATCGGGGCCCTCCCCCCAAACTGTCTGAATCAGAAGCTCTGCAAGTGACACCCAGATACAGTGTGTTTGAAACAGTCCTCAGATGACCAGGGTACAGCCAGGGTTAAGAACCACTGAGAGAAGGTGTTGAGAGCTTACTGAGTCAGGGACAACTGAGACGTATATATCATTCTTTCATCAGACTTGACAGATGAAGAAAGAAGTGAATTAAATCATAAAGCCCCAAGTTAGCAGGGTCAAGGAAGATGCGAGGATATTGTAGGCTGAAAAAGAAGCTGATAAGGCAGAAAACATTAACTGTGAGTTGAAGGTAGGGAGAAAAGGAAGGGGGCGGTGGAGGAGGGGAACTGAATGTTATTGGTCAGGCATTTTACTTATGTTATCACCATTATGGCTCCTTTTGCTGATAATTAATAATCACTATTGTTATTTTTGAGGCCTATATTACTGCGTCGAATTTACAATGTGGCAAGTGAGGTTTAGGGAAGCCAAGTAAATACTGAAGATCCAAATCCAAGCCAACAAAGAACTGGGCTCTTTGCTCTGTATCGGCTGTACAGTAAAATCTTGGAGGCAGCGGGTAGGGCTGGGGTCTAGGATTCAGTTGGAGGAGTAGCTTAGGAAAAAGGAGGAATACACCCGATGAAACAAGACAGAGAGAAGTAAGAAGGGAACACAAGTAAAGGAGCAGGGCTTGTGAGTCTGTAAAGAAAAGGGTCAGGGAGACAGTTTGGAATGGGGTTGAGGTTCACATTTGACTTCCTACATCATCTCAGTAGAGCTGGGGCAAAGTAATTAATTCCATGAGACTGATGCTGGTGGTTCATGGATGGTGCCTGCGTGCTACACAACAGAGTGGAAAGGCAGCCTCGCCCTTCCCTTCCAATGAGATGTGGGTTAGTCACTCAACAACCCGTCTGTCCATCTGGCAACCAGGAGCATTGATGAATTAAGCTGTCTGTAGCTAACTGGGAACCCCAAAGAGGAAGAACAAGGGCCTTACCTTCCAAGACCTGACAGTCTAGGGTTACTTGGGTGAGGTTTTTGCCACCAACTATTAAAATCATCTGATTAGAACATTCAAAAAAAAAAAAAAAACTGATGATGCCTTGCTTTGCAATGTAGAAACATTCTGCCATTGACGATACCAGGTCACCCAGTGGTTTTGAAAATAAACAGGGGTTGCATACCTTTACGGCACCCCCATGAGCAAGGTAAGTGTGCAAGAAAGAAGCCTCTCCCATCAGCTAAGAGAACTCTGGGGGATGGTGAAGGACAGGAAAGCCTGGCATGCTACAATCCACTGGGTCGCAAAGAGTCAGACACAACTGTGCCACCGAACAACAACAAAGACAGCCAGATGGGGTTTACAGTTTAATTGTACAAAATCACCTTACTGAACATGTAGCATCAGGTGGTCATGCCTATATAGGTGTCTCTGGGCTTCCAGTCCAAAAAGATCACCAAACCATCTTAGAATATTCAGTGTCTTCTGGAGACTCAGCAAGCGGCCACCACTGAATGTCATTTGCCAGTAATTCCAGAGTCAATCACTCAAAAGGGAATACACCTAGAATTCCAATAATACTTTGTGGAGAATGTATAGTCTTTGTTTAAAATATTCTCCATGGTGCCCCTCTGGGTAATTAAATAAGCAGATAAGATATTAATTAATAGCAGCAAACAGACAGTAACAACTTACTAATTGAGGGATAAGTATTTCCTTTCATTCAGGCAGCTGCTACTTTTGTTTCAGTACTTTTGCCAGAGAGAAAAGGTGGTGGTTATGCATGGTTTTGTTATTGCCAGAAAAAGAGAAAAAAAAAAAGTCAGATTTCCACCCCCCCCCCATACAGAAAAGACAATAGAAAACATGAATTGTATATTTGTGGAAGAGAACAAAATTATGGATTATTTCAGCACCGCCAATGCTTCTGTGTTGCACTCTTGCGGCAGAGAACAGACAGGCAGAGAGGTATCGAAAAAGAAAGCAAAACCAGCTCTCTCGCTCTCTCTGCTCTCTCGGGTCACTGACTGTTTTTGCCCCTTTCACTCCGACCCCTCCTTCTTCTAAGGGAAGGTGAGATTCAATTCCCCGGAGCCTCACTCCAGGGCTGTTAAGCTGCTGTTCAAGCTGTTATTCGGAAATAAGGAAAGAAATTTGACACGGAGACACTCCACGTCTTGGCTGCCAGGAGAAATACCAGCTTTGAGGTCGTTCCATTTATGAATCTATGTTTATTATTATTATTGTTTTGCCAATCTGTTTTGTGATGCAGTCTCATCGGAAGACCTGTGGTCCCCATCTATCGTGCAAAACCCATCTAGGGTGAATCCGTTCTTCCTTCTCCACTTCTTTGCTGCATTCCGGCTTCCGCAGCTCCTTCTTCACCTGGTGAAGCTGGCCGGCTCTGGACATTTTGCAGGCTTAAGAAAATCACTCTTTCGCCTCGGGCAAGGAACACCAATGTTGAAACCTGGACTCCTCCTCCCACAAAGAGAAGAGTGGACAAGTGCACTTACTGGGCTTCTTGTCGCGGAGCTGCCGGCTGCGGAGTCCAGGTTGGGATACCCAGACACCAGCCTCCCCGTCTTGGGCTTCCCGCCCCCGCCCCCGCCCCCGCCCCCGCCCAAGCCCTTTCTCTTTAAGTCTAACTCCTTCCTCTCCCTCTGTCTGGATTCTACTGGCTGTTCCTGAAACAGCTTTACGCACGATGGAGGTCCACATCCTCGTGCAGGAAGTGCTCACGGACTGAGATGGCAGACCTCGCTCCCCCGGAAAAGTGAGTACCCACGCGGGCGGAGCCGAGGGCGCGGGGGCGGCGCCGGGGCCGCGGGTTCGAGGCCAAGTGCGGGCAGACGCGCACCGGCGGCTGGGCTCGGGCTGCTCCGGAAGACGCCAGAAACCCGCTGGAGCCGCCGGGCGGCAGCCTGGGGCAGAGCCGGGACTCTGACTGCACGGAGGTCCCCTCCCAAAGGAACTAAAAAGACTCTATCCGCCCCCACCCTCGCCGCTTTTACGACGGCACACATCAGTCTTTATAAAAAGCATCTTGAGAATGAGTTTCGGCGTGACTAGGGGATTCTCAGAAGATACATTATTCACGTCAAATTGAAAAGAAAAACTAGCGGGGAGGGGAAGGAGCTCAGACAGGTGATGTGCGGACGGCGGGCTTGAGGATTCTCCCAGCGTCTGCCGCGGCCGCCTCGGGGTATCCGGCGGAAAGTTGAGCGGTCGCCGGGCCGACCCGAAAGGTGTGGCTCCCCGCCCCCTCAGAGGCCGTGGGGATAGTGACAGGTAAGCAGCCTCCTGCTGTCACCCGGAGCTCAGCCGAAGGGAGGCGGCCTGAACTCAGCGAAGGAATTCCAGCTGGAGAGGCAGCTTTGGGAACCGCTGGAGGAGAGAGGACGAGAGAGCCGAGGAGAGGAGGGAGAAGTCGGGCAAACAGGTAACGGCGGGAGCCAGGGCGCTACCAGAGACGGAGTTGCAGCTCTTTGGGTGGGAGAACATCCTTGTAATGGCCTCTCCCTGTGTTCTGCGGAAGCAGCCCACCTTACCCTAATAACAAGCGTTTTAGGATTTTCGGTAACTGGACTTGAAAATGATTGCAAAACATTATTATGACACTATAGGGATTCGTTTGTTTTCTTTCATCAAGTTGGTTGGTTAGGATTTCCCACCTGAGTTTCATGCTTCTTGGTCAGTGGAGTGTGGCTCATTCCACCCTGCTGTGCAAACTTGGGCAAGACTCTTGGGGTCCGTGGGCATCGATTTTCTTTGCACATGTTGCACTTTGCATGTGTGTACATGTGTGTGTGCAACATTTAAGGACATATGTATTGTGTGTATATATATGTTTGAATATATGTGTGTGTGTATATTCTGCCCTAAATGTGTACATATGTGTATATACATACACATATGCTATATATAAATACATATACATACATTTATATATTTAGATTACTACTTGTATATGAATATATTTAAGACTAATGGAGTAAAAGTGCTGCTGAATCATGTAAGAAAGAAACTGATGAAATTGTGTATTTTAGTGGTTCTTAAAAATTGGTGCTCATTAAGACCTTTTGAGAATGAGCTGTGAGTCCTCTCCCAAGTGGGGAAAGCATTTTTATGGAAGGTTCATAAAGTTTTGCAAGCAGTCCCAGAAGGTTGTGGACATGCCCTGAAGTCCTTGCCTGAGGCCCTAGTGAACATCCCTTACCTTCCCCTCTAGGGTCTGCATCAACGATCCAGCCAAACCTCTGTGGCTGATGGGTTGGCTGTGGGAGCCATCTGCAGCCTTCTCTGGGGGTCTGGCGTCAGCCCTGCCAAAGGAGAGAGCCTGGCTTTCGTGAGTGAAGTCCTGGGACACTGTTTCCCAGGAGCTTCACCGGTCTCTGCCTTGTGGGAAACCCTCTTCACAAGCTCTTGCAATGGCTTTCCTAAGGTGACCATCCTCAGCCCTGGAATTTTCAGTCTTACAGACAGCATTGGAGAACACCTGCAGAGGGTCACTGTCTTAAGAAGAGCTCTTCGGGTCCCACAGTTGGATGTCAGACACTGGGACCGAGGTCTGGTTTTGAAATGAAGTGCTGTTTGCTCCCCAGTGCTGAGTAGGACTAGTAATAGTCTTCTTGTGCACCTCTGCACTTTTCCTTTAAAGCACTAGGTTCCCGTGCCTTGGAGGACCTGGGTCTTCCATTGGCAGTGCCAGCAAGGTGTAACAGGGGACACAGGGAGCTTTGAAGCCCAACAAGCCAGGCTTCAAATCTTGGCTCCCTTGCTTCAGGCAAATCACTGATCTTCTCTGAGTCTCACTTTTCCTGTTGTGAAATGGGGAACAATACTGCTTTCTTGCACGGTTATTAGGAAAATGAAATGCCTAGTCTATAATAAACTGCTATTATTGATATGAATGTGAGTTTATAAGTCAGTGTTAAATAGTCTCCTACTTTTTTTAGAGCAGTTTACTCTCTTATGGGGCTTATGTCAGCAAAAGAATGAGTACAGTCAGCCCTGATCTAATTATTCTAGAAGATGAATGGTGGGTTCAGAATACAATGTTGGGTTTATTGCTTCACCTTTGTCAAGCAGTTTTCTGTGTTGCCAGAAAGTGAAATGTGTCCAGACTAGCATAAAGTCTTGACCCTTTCTCTGAGTTCTCTTTTGGCCTATAATCTTGAATAGAAAACAGCTAGATCTTGCCTGTAGCTGCATGAATCTCGGTATAGAAACTGGAGAGGGCTGATGGCTGCATCTATCTTCAGGTACAACACAAACTGTCTCTGTAAAGAGAAATGTCTTCATTTCCATCTTTCACAGCTTGGAATAGATTTAATAAACTCAGCAAGTACTCCCCCCCACCTCTGTCTGCAGTCCTGGCCCCTCCGTTGCAAGAAATTGAATGACATAGATGTAAGGGAAAGAAATAGCAGAATCTTAAAAGGAAATTGGATTCCCTCTAAGTATCCATTCCAAGACTGATGAGTATATTCTGGCAAGACATTCTTGAATGCGAAGATGATGGTATTGATACCTACTAGTCACTGAGCCTTCAAGATATACTAAGCACTTGCCTATGTTCCTTCTGTTAATTCTCATGGTAATTCAATAAATTCTCTCTTCAATTAATTTTCTCACTGCAGGGTATGGATTATCAAACAAAGCTTTACAGATAAGGAGACTGAGGACTAAGGAAATTTACATGACTTGCCCAGTCTCCACAGCAAGTAAAAGGTAGAACTGAACTGGGACATAAGCCCAGGTCTGTCTGATCTTGATACCCACTCTTGTTCCACTAACGCATGCTGCCAAGCTCCTTGGGGTCAGAAAGTTGAATCATGCTAATTGGGTCCCAACCTAGTTCTTTTGAAGGGCAGGAATCACCATATCCACTAGGTGATTTCAGTGGCATGAACATACACTTTGTGTGTGAACACATCAATAAGCAACAACAGTGAAATCACCTATGGAGAGTGATTTTCCCACCCTTTCCCAAATCCAGCTGTGAAGTCAGTAGTTACCTACAGCAGGCGACGCTGGCTCTAGGCCACTGATTTCCTGAGCAATTCGTTTATGTCAGAAAGAGCTCTGAAATTCTTAGTCTTCGTTACCTTTAGAATCAGGACACCTTGCCATTTGCCTTCCTGTGTTAAACATTCATTCATTCCATGAATACTTGCTGAGCTCTGAATATGACAGACAAGGCCTCGGCCCTTGTGAAGCTTCTATGCTACAGAGATGTATGAGAGGCAGGTGAACACATATATAAATCAGATCATTTCAGATATTGATAAATGTTTTGTTATTGCTGTTCATTTGCTAAGTCGTGTCCTACTCTTTGTGACCCCATGGTCTGCAGGACACCAGGAAACAGGCTTCCCTGTCCTTCAACTGTCTCTCGGAGTTTTTTGAAACTCATATCCATTGAGTCAGTGATGCCATCCAGCCATCTCATCCTCTGTCATTCCTTCTCTTATTGCCCTCACTCTTTCCCAGCATCAGAGTCTTTTTCAATGAGTTGGCTCTTCACATAAGGTGGCCAAAGTATTGGAGCTTCAGCTTCAGCATCAGTCCTTCCAGTGAATATTCAGGACTGATTTCCTTTAGGATTGACTGGTTTGATCTCCTTGCTGTCCAAAGAACTCTGAAGAATCTACTCCAGCACCACAATTAGAAAGTATCAATTCTGTGCTCAGCCTTCTTTATGATCCAACTCTCACATCTGTACATAAACATTAGAAAGAAAGTAAAGAGAGGCTGGGGGCCTCAAGGGTAACAGGGCTTGGGGGCACATTTAAGTAAGACAACAGAGAAGATCTCCTTAAGAAGGTCACCCTTAAACTTAAACCTGCCTAATAAGAAGAAACCAGCCCCATGAAAATCTGGGGAAAGAATTGCCTTAGCAGAAGAAACCTCAAGGGAAAGTTCTGAAAGTGAATAAAGAAAGCAGTATGGTCCCAGATAGAATGAGATGGCCCCTAAGGTATCAAGTTGAGGTTTATAAAGGGGAAATCATTGTTTGAATGCCTATTGTACTAGTCTAGCCTGTTCTGTGTATTTTATACCTATCTTAATTTTTAATCTTCTCAGCAATCTGGTGAGTTAGCTTTTCTGTCTTGATTTGATAATTAAAGAAACCAAGAGAGTAACCAACCAGACTAAGGTTATAAAGCTGGTATTTGAATCCCACAGTCTATCCTGCACCAAAACCCAAAACTTTTTGCTAACACAGCATGTGGCCTTTGAGATCATCTCTTCTCGGGGATAGTGAAAGAGCTAGCAGCAAGAAATATCCAGCGTTTATTAGGTAGCTCAATGCTGGCAATGATTTCTGTCTGATGTCCCAATTTCCAGTTAGCATGTCTAAACCTGCATGCAGAGTGCAGTAGCACTCGCCCCATGTGGCTACTGAGCACTAGAAATGTGCAAATTGAGATGCACTGTAAGCGTAAAGTACACCCCAGATTTCAAAAACCTGATACCAAAAAATACATATCTATCTCTTGAGTTTTTATATTGACTGTACATTAGAATGATAGTATTTTAGACATACTGGTTTAGCTGAAGTACATTATTAAAATTAATTTTATCTTTCTTTTTAAATTTGTTTTCATGTGATCAGCAGAAAACTTAAAATCACATATGTGACTTGAATTGTATTTCCTTCAAATAGCACTTCTGTAGACTAATTGGTTGACAGAGATAGAATGGAGAATTGTTCCTCCTTCTTCTTAATATAACTTTTCCTGTATTCTTGGCTCAGACTCCTTCTCAGGA